TTAGTATTTAATAGATTGAGGTTTAGCATTCAATATTTAGTAAATTTAGTTTTAGCATTTAGTAAAATATACTTTTTGTGTGATGGGGAATTTTGGGGTTCTACTTCTGCGTCTGAGTATAGTCAAACATATATGAGGTACAATATATATGTTCAATAAACGTTTTTGGAGAAAATACATGGATGCGGAATAGCTTATTGTGGAGAATTGTGATTTATACCTTCCCAGTGAATTTATTTCCTTAAGGAGATAAGTTTTGCTCTTTCTTAAAGGTTTATACTGGTAGGAGTATAACTTTACAAATTGTAATAGACAGGCATAGAAGACAGATAGACAGACAGCCAGACAGATAGATAGATAGATAGATAGATAGATAGATAGATAGATACATTTTAATCCAGAAAAACATATTCTTAAAGTCTGTAATAAGGTGCAAAGTTCTAAACCAGGAACTGAGACTGGAGATATGAGTAAACCAAAGAAGACACAAAATACTTTTAAGAAGAGCCAAGATATGCACAAGAGATAAATTCAGGAAAAAAAAAAACTAACTCAACAACAAATACAAGCAGAGTCTTAGAGGGGGAATAAATGGTCTGGCCACAAGGACTACAAGAATACCTATAGGAAATAAAACAAGAGATTTAAAAAATATATAAGTGAAATAAGAGCTCTGGAGGAAAAAAAATGGAAGAAGAATAAATGGCTTAAAACAGAAGGTTGAAAACCTTAGCAAAGTTATAAACTCCCTATAAATTTGAATACACCAAAAAGAAAGCAATTCATCCATGAGAAAATAAATATTGGAACAAAATGAAAAGACTGATAAAAATAGAAAGAAATATAAAATATCTTCTTTATGAAACAAGTGACTTGTAAAACAGGTAAAGGAGAAATGATGATGATGATGATGATTGCCATTATTATTATTAAAAAACAAGTATTATATAGGAATTTAAAGTTTGCAAGAGTATTACAAATATTATTTTATCCTTACAACAATCCTGAGAGGTACGTGCTATTATTATCCCAGTTTTACAGATGAAGAAACTGAGAAAGACAGAAGAAAAGGGATTTGTGCAAGGTCAAACAACTAGTAAGTGTCTGAGGTAGCATTTGAACCCAAGTCTTCTTGATTCTAAGACTAGTACTCTCTCCACTGTGTGACTTAAAAGTCATCAGGCTCCTTGGAAATCATTACCAAACAAAAAAATGTTAGAATCAGAAGGCAAACTGAAAGTTGAAAGAATCTAATAGTCACCATCTGAAATAAACCCCAAAATGAAGATTCCCAGTAATGTGTTAGCCAAAATCAGAAGCTTCCAGGTCAAAGGGAAAAAATGCTACAATTATGCAAAAGGAAAGTTTTAAGTATGAAGGAATTGCATACATGACCACATGAGACTGAGCAACCAATACAATAAATGAAATAAAATCTTGGAATATGATATTCTGAAAGACAAAGGCTTATATCTAAAAATAACTAATCTTCCAAGAATGAGTGCAATCTTACAAGGTGAAAAAAAAATAACCTTTAATAGACTATGGGACCTTCCAAGCATTCCTGATGAAAAGACTGGTGCTGAGTGAAAATTTAGAAATGCAAACACAGGAGTACAGAGAAACTTCGACAGGTAAGATCATTTGAACAACCACAAATTACTCTTTTGTTTTTTGTTTCGTATTTTTTTTGCTAGGCAATGCCCAGGGTCACACAGCTAGTGTCAAATGTCTGAGGCTGGATTTGAACTCAGTCCTCCTGACTCCAGGGCCAGTGATTTATCCACTGAACCACCTAGCTACCCCCACAAATTACTCTTTACAAAAATAGACAAACTTAAGTAATTGTAGAGGGATTGATTGCTAATTGTTCAGCTTGCCAATATACCAAAAAATGACAGTGCTCCCTGAATGACTTGCTTCTTTTTAGTTTTGTACCAGTCAAAATACCAAGGTTACTTTATTGAGCTGGGGGTGGGTTTGGGGGTGGGGAATAGTAAAATTCATCTGGAGGAACAAAAAATAAAAAAGGCTTTTTATAAAAAATAAATAAATAAATAATGGTGGGTGGGAGGGGGTCGAAGTGAGAAAGAAGAAAGGCCAGCAGTACCAGATCTCAAACTCTACTACAAAACACTAATCTTCAAAGCTATCTGATAGTGGTTAAAAATAGAGAGTGGCATGGAATAGATTAGGTACACAACATAAAGAGGTGAAAGAAAATAATAGACTACATAATAGTTGATTTCATAAACCCAAAGATCCTAGGGTAAGGACTCACTGCCAAGAAAAATGGAAAGCAGTGTGGCAGAAATTAGATTTACACCAACATTTTATACTATACACCAATATAAGCTTCAAATGAATTACATGACCTAGTTATAAAAGGTTAGTCCATAAATAAAATGGGAGATCAAGGCAGGAGATAGTTTTGCAATTCTAGATAGGGGAAGAATTTTTAAACAAGTGAAGATTAGGGAGCATTTCAGAAGACAAAATGGACAATTTTGATAAGATAAAATTGAAAAGCTTTTGAACAAGCAAAATCTATGCAGTTAATATGAAAAAAGAAATAGTTCTTTGGAAAAAAGATCTTTGTAACAAGTTCCTCTAATAAAAGTTTTGTATCTAAGATATATGTGGACTTTGTTCAAATATAGAAGGATAAGAGTTATTCCCCCATAGATGAATGGTCAAAGGACATGAAAAAGCAATTTCCAATTGAAAAAAACCTAACACGTTAAAATTACGCCAAAGCTAATAACAAAAATAATAACTATGAAGGCAAGTGAAAATAGCTTTGATATCCCTCTTAAACTCATTAGATTTTTGGAACAGACGTGATAGACAGACATATTAATGCACTCTTAAGAAAATGGTGAGATGGTGTAGTCATTCTTGGATGTAATTGGTACCTATACCCTACCCCTCAAAAACAAAGAATTGGAAACCAAGGAGAGTACCTACCAGATGGGACATAGCTGAACAAAATATGATGCATGAATGTAACAGAATACTATTGTGCCATAAGAAATGAAAAAGTCAGAGATTTAGAGAAACTGGGGAAAACTTGTATGAACCTATATAGCATGAAGCGAGTAGAAGCAGGAGAATATATAATGAATTTTAAGTTATAAAGAAAAGTGACTTGGAAATACTTAATAACTCTGAACCAATGCAATGACCAACTCTAGAGTACTGGTGGTGAAGTATGCCTCATTTGGGGTACATGTCTAAAGTGAACATCAATTTTGTTTGACTAGGCTTATTTGTTACAAGGGATTTGGAAGGTTTTATTTTGGCTGGAAGGGAAAACTAAGGGAGGGGCAAAGATTGTAATAGTGATGCTCCCCCAAAAAGTGGAAAAGAAAGAAAGGAGCGTCAATGGAGCATTTTCAAATGTGCAAATAAGAAAATGGGGAGGTTCAGAGGGGAATACAGAAAAGCAGAACATATATATTTAATTTATTATATTGTTTATTATATATAATTTATATTATTGTATTTATTATATTGTTTATTATATATTATTATATTGTTTACAAAGGAAAATGTGGAGATTTGTGATTTCATATGCAATCTTTATTTCTTCTTGGCATACAGAAATGTTCATGTTTGTTATTGTTCATCAATTCTGAAAAGAAAAGCACCTAAAAGTTGAATTCAGAAGAAAACAATACAGTCAATTAATGTTTTAGGTTAATTCCTGCCTTATTGCTGCATTTAGTTTAAGAATCCACATTACAAAAGATACAAAAATTTAAAGAAGACCTAACAAAATGAATAATAGATTCTTTACCTATCAGCAAAAGTCAAAGAAACTGTTTCAGTATAAAGGAAAAAGCACTGGACCCTAATCCAAATTCTATTTGGGTTTGAATCCCAATTCTGCCACTAACTTGTTGTGCATACTTAAAAAAATCTTTTTACTCTCTAATCTTCAATTCCTTTATCTAAAAAATCAGAGGATTATGTCTTCCTTTCTAGTTCTAACAATTTATGAATCCTCTGAGGAAATAAGATACTGGAAAATGATTTAGGCTAGGAACTGGACCTGTGAGTTTATTGACATAGGAAATCCTGGAGGAGGAAACATCTTCTATCAGTTGAGGCCATCATCTTTTCTGCTACTTATAACCTTAGACCAACACCTACCCTAGTGACCTCTTCAACGTCCCTTAAAAACTGTGAGCTTTACTTCTGTCTCTCTTTTATCCCCCTACAGGTTTATGATCTCATCATTCAATGGACATTCCTCTCATTAAAGTTACAAATTCCATCTTAAAAAATTTGATGTTCTTTTCTCAGTCCTTATCCTTCTTGACCTGTTACATTTGACATTGCTGACTATCTTTTACTCCTGGATACTCTGTCTTCCTGAAAATGCTGTCCTCTCTAGGTTTTTATGATACTGTTCTCTTCTGTTTCTTCTCCTACCTGAATGAGTATTCCTCAGTCTCTTTTGCTTGCTTATCATCCATATCATGCCTGCTAACAATAGTTGTTCCTCATGGTTTCCCTAGGCCCTCTTCTCTTCTTTCTTTACAGTAATCTCATCAGCTTCCACTCACTTAATTATCTTATAGGCAGATATAAATATGCATGCAGAGATCATATTGTGAGTATATGTGTGTGTTTATGTATTATATGTGTGTGTATATATGTATGTATGTGGTAGACAAAGAGAGGGCACCCAGTCTCTTCCCTGAGCTGTAGTCCCTTGTCACCAATTACCAATTGAACTGGATGTTACGGAATCATCTGAAACTCAAAATGTCCCAAACTGAATTATTATCTTTCTACCCAAACACTCCCTTATTCCAAATGTCCCTTTCCTGTTAAAGGCATTACTAACCTTTTAGTCCCCCAGGGTTATAACATCAGCATCATCATGGACTCTTTGCTCTCCTACAGCCCACATGCCCAAAGCATTGCCAAATCTTGCTCTTTCTGCCTCCACAACATCTAGAAAATCTGATCCTTTTTCTCCATTCACACAGATATCACTTTATGTCAAACCTTCGTCATCTCTTGCCAAGATCATTTCAACAACCTCCTAATTAGTCTGCTTGGATCAAGTCCCTCTCCACTGCAGTCCCCTCTACATATTACTTGGAGTCAAGGTAATTTTCCTTAAGCACAGATCTAATCATGTTACTTTTCTGCTCAACCAACTCTATTGGCTTTCTACTGACTCTAGGATAATATATACATTTTTCTGTTTAGTTTTTAAAGCCTAACATAGCCCCACCACAACCTATCTTTTCAGCCCCATTGAACATTGTTCTTCTTCCAACATTCTGCAATCCAGCCAAACTGTGTGCACAGCACTCCATCTACTTATCATCATACTTTTGCACTGATTGTCAACCATGCCTAAAATGCACCCCCTCCTAACTTATGCTTCATAAAGACCCTCTCTTCTTTAAAGATAAAACTCAAGCACTATCTTCTGCATAAAACCTTTCTTGATGTCCTCCAACCACTAATGCCCTCCTCCCAAACTACATTGTATTTAACTACTTTGTATATATTGTGTGTATAGAAGTAGCCCCCTCACACACACACATTATGTGTGTGTGTGTGTGTGTGTATATATGTATATATACATACACATATACATATGTGTGTGTATGTATGTGTGTGTGTGTGTGTATCACTGTATCTATGTATATAGGCACCCACTGACCTGTTGTCCACCATTAGAATGTAAGCTTATTTTGAGTAGGGATGGTTTCTTTTTTTATACTTGTATCATTGTATCCTCAGCATCTCTCATAGTGTCTGACACATAGCAAGTGCTTCATAGATTTCTGTTGATTGATTGATAGGAAGAATAATTTCATATAAATAAAAAGATGGTCAAAAGGCACCTATTTAATAGACAATTAGGTAGAATGTTGTACACTGATATGAAGATTCAAAAATAAATATAGAAAATGCATATAGGGTATTAGGTGAAGGTAAAAGATAGAAAAAGACAGGAGAATATCATTACAAAGACCTATAATAACCATGATTTAGTAATACATGATGTGAGCCATTTGAGGGAGATGAATGTTGTGCTCCTGATACAATTTACAAAATCAGCACATCAGCCAAGATGCAAAAAGAGGTTTCAACCATTTGAGCAATCTTTTTGAAGTCTTGTTCACTAATATAACGTCTCACATTTTTTAAACTTCATTTGTTCCTCTCTTATAAATTAGAAAAATTGACAAAGGAAATCTGGACCTAATTGTGACCAATAATGAAGAAGTTGCTGGTGAAGTGGAGATGAATGAACCTTTGGGATGAAATCATGATGCTTTTTTTTATTTGTGATAGCTGAGGTGGAAATAGTGGGACTATTCATGCATTTTTCCTAGACTATAATGAAAAAAATTTCAAAACAATTCAGGAGAAAGGTAGGCATTATCTCACAGCCCAAGAGAAGCAGTTCAAGGAGGATGGGAAATTCCCAGAGATGAAATTCTGACAGTAAAATTCTGAATGATCACATTAATGAAGTGAGAGGAAAGCTGTCAAATGAGACTGATGTGACTACAAAGAGAACTTGTCAATAAACTCAGGGTTTAAAAAGGAAAAGTATAAAACAAGAAGGCTAGATGGTCAATGACTTATACAAAAGAGTGGCTGAGAAATGTAAAAATAAGCTCAACCTGAGGACCATAGATTTGTAGTTGGAAGAAATTATAGAGGTCAGGTAATCCAACCTTCTCACTTTATAAATAAAGAAACTGAGGCCCAGAACAGTTTAGTGACTTGACTAATCATCACACAAAACTCTGGGTACAGCCATCTGACCTCTTGATGTATCCCTGCTACACCCACCCCCTTCCCAACAATGCTGGACCTTCAGGTCTTTCCCAAGCCCTCTATAGCTGAATTCTCTTACATGTATTATTTCCTCCTTTCATAACATAAGCTCCCTGACAGCAAGTGCTATCTTACTTTTTCTATTTGTAAACCCAGTGCATAGCACAGTGCTCAAAGTGTTTACTAAATATTCATTCATGCTTTTAATTCTTTCATTTTATTTATTCACAAAAACAGAAAGTAGTAGAACTGGGATCCAAACCTCAGTATTGTAAGTCCAAATCCAGCACTTTGTCATGCTGGATGTGAGCAAAGACTTATAAAAATACTAAGGAGAAAAAGAGTATTCAAATTTATAAGAATACAAGTCATTCTCCAATTGATAAATGGTCAAAGAATATGAACAGGCAGTTCTCGGATGAAGAAATTAAAGCCATCTATAATTATATGAAAAAATGCTCTAAATCACTATTGATCAGAGAAATGCAAATCAAAACAAGTCTGAGGTACCACATCACACCTGTCAGATTGACCAATGTGACAAAACAGGAAAATGATAAATGTTGGAGAAGATGTGGGAAAATTGGAACACTAATGCATTGTTGGTGGAGTTGTGAAATGATCCAACCATTTTGGAGAATAATTTGGAACTATGCCCAAAGGGCTATAAAAATGTCCATACCCACTGACCCAACAATAGCACTTCTAGGTCTATATCCCAAAGAGATCATAAAAATGGGAAATGTACAAAAACATTTATAGCAGCTCTTTTTGTGGTGGCAAAGAATTGGAAATTGAGGGGATGCCCATCAATTGGGGAATGGCGGAACAAGTTGTGGTATACGAATGTAATGGAATACAATTATGCTCTAAGAAAAGAGGGGCAGGCAGACTTCAGAAAAGCCTGGAAAGACTTATATGGTCTGATGCTGAGTGAAGTGAGCAGAACCAGGAGAACATTGCACATAGTAACAGTCATGTTGTGCAATGACTAACTTTAATAGACTCAGCCCTTGTCAGCAATGCAAGGATCTAAGACATCTCCAAAAGTCTCATGATGGAAAATGCTAACCACATCCAAAGAAAGAACTATGGAATTTGAATGCAGATTGAAGCATACTATTCACAATTTTTTCTTCTGTTTTGTTTTGTTTCCTCTTTCTTGTGGTTCCTCCTATTGATTCTAATTCTTCCTTACAACATGACTAATGTGACAATATGTTTAATAAGAATTTATATGTATAGCCTATATCAGATTGTATGCCATCTTGGGGAGGGAGATGTGGAGGGAGGGGGAGAAAAATTTAAAACTCAAAAGCTTATGGAAATGATTGTTGACAAATCAAAATTAATTAATTAATAAAAAAGCAAAGGAGTATTCTTTTAATACACAATATTTGCAAAAAAAAAATGTGAAGAAGAGAAAAGCCCACTACTTAGGGGAGAGAACATCATGTTGACAAATGAAAGAAGTCTGAACATTTGTTTTTTCACATTTTGTTTCCATCTTCTTTGTAAATAAGATTGTTCTTCAAACTGGAAAAAAGAAAAACAAATATTATTAAAAGAGCATTTAAGCCCAGGATTATTGATGGGATAGTGATAGAACACCTAGTTGTTCAAAACAAGTTCAAGTTTGATGAGCTGGAACAATGACATTCCAGATTATCGAAAGAAATTGCTGAACTGCTCTCCATATTCTTTGTGAAGATAAATGGTGATGGATGTCTGTAAGTGGGCAAAGGCTGTTTCTTAGTTTCAAAAAAGCTTCAGGAAGGCAGGGATTCAGGAAGCAGGGCAACAGCTTTGCAAGAAACTACAAGCTTTTGAAATTATGGTAGCCAGCAGAACTCTGGAATGGAATCCTAAATCAACAGCTTTAGAATACTTATAAAAGGAAGAGCTGCTTGGAGTCAACAAGAACAAGCTTCACCAAGAATGAGTCATGGCAAATTAACTGACCAGTGCTTGCTAACAAGAAAGTAAGCTCCCTGCAAACGGCATTTTCACCACCAAATTCCTTGTTACTATCCCATCGTTGAATAGTTCAGAAACAGTTTAACTGGGAGAGAGCACAAAAAAGGAGAAGGATTGCTGCCTGCTTTCTCATTGCACACTAACACCCATTGGGCCTTTCCATCTGATTTGCAGTTGAAATCTCTTCTCTGTGTTGTCTCCTCCTATTAGAATGTGAGCTACCTAAGAATAGGGACTTCCTTGTTTTTCTATTTGTGCAAGTTCCCAAACTGGTATGTCAGGGGAATGCTATAGATATAGTACATCTAGGTTTCAGCAAGGCGAAGAAATATGAGTTGAATTATAATGCTGGTAGGTGGATTCACAGCTAGCAGTACTGATTAATGGACTGATATCAGCATGGAAGAAAAGCTCAAATGGCCTGCCACAAGGCTATTCTCTTGACTTAGTCCTGGATGTCATTTGAATTGTGACTCAAACTACTGGCAACATGAATGACTGATTTACCAAATATGAGTATGACACAAAACTCCCAAGAATAATGAATGAGAAGATCACAATGCAAAAAAATTTTGACAGGCTGATCTCATAGGCTGAGATCAAATGGAAACTCTTGCAATTAGCTTTTTCTGTTTATTTGTCTGTATTTATAGAAATCAACATACCAGAACAGATGGAAAAGATCTTCCTTAGCAGTGATTCATGTGAGGGGCTTAGGAAGTATGGTTATTTGCAGACTTAGTCTGAGTTAACAGAATCAGTAATGTGTCATCCAAATTTACATGATTGCAAACTGTACTTATCAAACTATGGTTTCCAGACCAAGAGAAGTATCAGTTCTTTTACTCTGTGCTAGTCAGACTACAACTGAAATATTAAGCTTATTTTGGCTTGTCATATTTTAAGGTCATTGATAATCTAGAGATTGTCCAAACAAGAGTAACCAGAACAGTGAGAAAACTGGGAAGTATACCATTTTCAATTCAACAGTTTAATGCAACAAGTATTTATTAATCACTTAGTACATATCTGGTGATGAGTTAGGTGCTGGAGATACTAAGGGAAACATTGTATTAAGTGTTTCCTATGAGACAGGCATCGTGCTAAGCTCTGAAGGCAAAAACATGTCTCTGTCTTCAAAGAGTTCACATTCCAAAGTGGGGGGGGGGGGAAGACAGCATGCAACACAGAGCACTGAGTGTGGCAGTTGCATCAGAAGCCTCTTGCTCTAGCCATAGCAACATTGGTCCAAACACCATGCCTCAGTTGTATGGTCATAGAGT